TTTTAGGTTAAACATACGCTTCACCTAAAAACATGAAATAGGTCTATTTCTATGATTTGGGGATTCGGCCGTTTTTAGTCTAAACCGGTCTATTGGGCACGCGCTTCAAAGCTGCCACGAAGCTACAGCAAGTGGGGTGAGACGAGGCGTATCACTTATTTGGTGATCAGTAGTGGGGCAATGCCGCGGTCTGGAAATCCGCGAGCCTGGGTTTTCTGTGGCGCCTCCTTCGCTGTTGCATCGCGAAGGAGTATTTTATCACACGGACACAGTGTCAATTCCGTCGGCGAGTTCTTTTGTGGCGGTTTGGGAGGCGCTGCTTTTTCTCGCTTCCCTGCTGTCGGATCTCCCCGGCGCCGAAGAGCCAACGCCCAACCTGGTGTAGCCGGGCGAGGTGGTGCAGCGGTGATGTGATTCTGGTTGATGGTGGTGAGTAATCCAGGCCGGTTTTCGTGGTAAGTGAAAAGATGACTCCCGCAATGGAGTATGCGATGGTGGCAACTACAACGTTGCCCAATTATGCGCATGTGTCGCGGTAAAACCAGGTGAGTTTGTCAAGCACATTGCCAGTCTGCTACGAATTGGCTGTCCCTTGCCACATGGCTAGACAGCTGGTCGGTCAACTTCTTGCAGAGAGCACGAGCAGCACAGATTCTGCAGGTGTGCCTTTGGTGCGTGTTGCGTTTTGTGTCTTTGAAGCCCTCTGGGCGGCTCCGGGCCCGTCATGCGCTTATCTGCCGGTGTCACACAATTCCGCCGGGCACCGCGCATTGCAAACGACGCAAAGGGGAAACCGAAAAGTAAGGGCGGTCCGCCGAAATTTCCGACAAACACTGGGAAAGCAACCCACTGGCATGGCATTCCAGCTTAGGTGGATCCGCGGGGATCTCAGCGGCGGTGTGATGTGGTGTGTGAACCAATGAGTGGGCCCCACATGGTGGTTTCCCTAAAAGTTTGGATGGGGGACGGGCAAGTGAGCAAAGAGCGGCGGTACAGCCACACATCCGCGAGCTGATATTGCTTTGATTTGATGATCACCTTTGTTTTCCCTGGACCCTCAACATTCCCTCAACAATGGGACAATGCCCCAAAATTATGGTGAATTCCCCCTTCCCTATGGGTGGTTTGCGAGTTCAGGAGCCTTTTCAGTCCAGCTGCAAAGCGCGGAGTAGTGTATGCTTCATGGAGGGACATGGGAGTCGTTCCGCCAGAAAAGCCAATGCACGAGAATGCACGTCCGCAGGCTTCCTCTTGGCCTGTTTCAGTGCTTCTGTGGTCAAGAGTGCTGTTCGGGATGGCTTGGGCGTTTTGGGTGTCTGCCAGGTGTTTTATCTTCCTCTGGCACGCATCAGCTCTTGGAACCACAAAAGAGCTGACGAAAAATTCTTCCTGGAACCGAAGCAACTAGCCATAAAACATGTTGGACTTAACAATCGCATATGTTGGTTGTGTTACCCAATTTGTAAGTTGAAGTATTGAGGGTCCAGGTTGGTCTTTCAAACTTGGAATGTTTCCACACGAAAAGAGGCAATACTGTGGATGGTTGCAAAATCCATTTCGCACCACCTTTCAGAAATCCTATGATGATTCCCCTGTAAATACCAACAAACGTCATGGTTTCAACCATGGTTTCATTTCATCGGTGCGAGCCGATTTTGTCCAGCTGTAGGAAGACACGTTTGGCTTGGGATGCCTTAGTTCTAAGCCCATATGCCAAGCTTGTGGACCTCTTGGCCATTTTTCTTGCTTTGCCTCATCTAGGTCCCCCAGTAGTGCCCTTTTACCCTTTTTTGGGGACTAGAATAGACTCAAAAGAAAGAAACGGGTACCCTTATTCTAACCTCTCTACTGGAGGGCCTAGCTCGTTCCTTTCGCGGGGCCTCATCAGGCCTTTCCTACCGCTGGACATGATGTCGGCACCTCCCATGCTGGCGTTGCCAGGGCCCCTGCGGTTTCAGGTGGGCTTACTTGCCAAAATGTTTGTGCTGGGCTCACCCCTTGTTCTATTCGTTTTTCGGTGGGCTCATCCTTGTTTTGCTGCTTTTGGTGGGAACCCTGCTCTTTGCCGGCTTTGTCGGTGGGCTCAAAAAACATTGTTGGGCTCACCAGGGCTCGCCAATTTTTCATTTGTTTCTGTGGGCGTACCCTTTCCCTTGTCTTCTTCAGTTGTTCCTAGCTTTCCCTTCGAGCTTAATCAGCAGGATGTTTTATTCCATTTTTCAACCAGCAGGCCTAAGACTGGTCAAGCTCCAAAGTGGTAAACTTGCATCCCCACCATTTTTGTTGATGTCTACCAAAGCATCTATGAAAATTCACCAAGACAGCAGTGTCGTTTGTAGGTTAGTTTGGTTCGAAATTGATCGGTTCCCCAAAGAAGCCCATATCAGATGCCCAATTCTGTCCGGATGTTGGATCCCTGTTTTCCAAATAGAAGGATCCCTGAAGAGAGAGGACATGGATGGTAGGGCCAGAACTTCCCTTGACGTATTCTTGTTTCAGATGTTGGTTCCCACGCGAAAAGGCCACGACTGAATAGCACATCGTCTCGAAACCCTATCATGATGGTTGTTTCCATGTTGGCTTCCCAAGAAGCACCTCAAAGAAAGACACACCCATCCAAACTCCCAACAACTGCTTTGTGGACCTTTTCACTTTGGGACTTTTGGCATGGGAAAACAAAACAGTTGTTTGGGGGGTGCTGGGGTATTCTTCCATTTGAAATGCTTGGCAGAATATGTGTTATGTCCTTCCTTCATTTTCAAGGGAAACTATCACTACTGGATGTGTTGATTTTATTTTCTCCAGGGAACCTCTCTGCAAAAATGGTAGTCAATCAACTTAAAGCAATACCCAACCAACTCAAGCAAAAATGGAAGTCAACCTTAGGCTACCAGCCAACTAACTTCAGTTGCCCAGGCCCCGGTGTCCTTGACTTTACTTCTTGAAACCAAGATGCCCCTGGTGCAACTCAGGTGGCCTATGGCGATCGCCCGCCCGGCGCATTCGTTGGTTTGCTGAGATGCTAGGGGGGAGGGGCCGCAATCGGCCTGGAAAAAAACGGGTGGCATGGCTGTCCTTTGTAGGTGAACTTTACCTAGGCCCCCCAGTAGTGCCCTTTCACCGTTTCTTTTTTCGGGGAGGGTTCCCCTACTAAAATAGACTACAGAAAAGAAAGGGTGCCCTTATTCTAACCTACTGGAGGACCTAGTTGCGGTTCTTGACTCATGCTGTTCGGCTTCTGAGAGTTTGTATTTTTTCGTTCTACTCATGTTTAGGGGGCTGCAGAAGAAACCACCTCGCTTTGTCCAAGACTAGTCGTGCCGTTTGGAAATGGTTTGGTTCCACCGGCTTAGATCAGTTTTCCATTTGCAAGGGCGGAATCCATTCATTTGGGTGCGGCTCAGAATTAAAGAGCTAGGGCAAAGCGCGGGATTTAGTCTTTGGTTCCATTTGCCAAGGGTGCCATTTTGGGCTCCATGTGTTTGAGCCACAGCCATTTTTCCACAAGGTGACCTATGACTGTTGATTTCACGGTCGGTTTTTCAGGGTAAGCACCATTCCACATGCGCAAGGGACAAGAACAAGTTGGTACTTGGAGGCTGGCCAAGCGGTGTTTGCGCTTGTTTTTTGAAGCCATTCCTTGAACAGGGGGTCCCCGATTTTTGAGCAACGTCTACAATTTGTCAAGCCTTAAGGAAGTCCAGATCCCAAACCCCTAAAAGTGGGTTTTGCTCTATTTCCCTTTTTCCGGGGACTAGAACGTGGGATTTTCCCCCACACTCCTCCGTAAGATCGGGAGAATGTGAAGCCGGGGTGTCGGAGCTTGGCATGGGCTCTATGCGAAGTTCGAGGCAGCCAGTGTTGAGCTACCCCATTTGTGGAGTTCGCTCCGTAGGGAATCTTTCTGGTAGAAATGTGTGTGTGTGTGTGTGTGTGTTTCTTTCAAGGGAAGGGAAACCAAAAGGAACCCATCCATTGTGGCGAGCTCCGAATCCTAAAAAAGAGTAGAGCTCACCTTCTGTGACTCCAGAGAACGACAACCCCCCCCTCCAAAAAAAAGAAAGAAAAAGAGTAGATTGCTCACCTGCCTTCGTTTGCGATTTGGTCCTCGGTCTTTGGGGTAAAGGCCTGTCTCTGCCAGGCGCGGCGCCGGGCAGAGAAGAGCTTCCTTTGAGACAAGAAAAAATGAGCGAGCCCGGCCTGCAGGCGGCTCCCCTTCCATTGGCTGAAGCGGATATGTTTCTAGGTCCCCCCAGCTAGGTGCCCTTTCTCACCCTTTTGTGGGGAGGGTTCCCCTAGTAAAATAGACTGCAGAAAAAAAGGGTGCCCTTATTCTAACCTCTCTGCTGGAGGACCTAGGTTTGTTCATGTTCCCCTGTTGGTTTTACAGGACTCAAATGATTTGGATATGTTTTGTTAGTTTCCCCTGTTGGTTTTGAAGGGAACCCAATGATTTGGACATGTTTTGATGTTCTCGTTTTTGTCCAGGGGGCTTCTCAGCAAAGGTTGCGCAATTCCACTCCGCACCACTGCCCTACGGGATGTTTTTTTCCCCGACCGCAAATACCGTAACAAGCCTTGTGGTCTCCTTCCCATAGTTCCATTTTCGGTTTTGCCAGCGGATGACTCGCAATCCACAGGATTTCGCAAGATCTTGCAGCCGCCAAGGGATCTGCATGAACCTCTTTTTCCGCTTCAGGTGACCAGGTGCACTCGAGATGTTGTGGATCACTGAAGATCAGAACCGGATGTTTGCAGCTTGTTTGCCCCGCAATTCTGGATGAGCTTGACCTGCGCGGTCCAGGAGGCATGGGACCCGTTGCCTGCAACAGATTTGGGACATCTAACAATGGCAGCAATTACCCTTTTTGTTATCTTCAAACGTCACACAACAGAGGTTTCTGTGGTTTCCCCTTGCTTGCTTTTGTTGGTTCTGCCTTGGTTTTCCCCCCCCACCCCCAATTTGAGGCCTGGCCCTTTTTCAGTGTCCCTTGCTCTGCGGCTAAGCTGCTCAAAAAAACACCTTGCACGACGGGGGCGCTGCGCAGCAGTTCGCTATGCCCCTCAGATTAGCCGGGAGCCTTGGCGAGCGAACTGGCGAGCATAACACATAGGCGTTCTTTTTGGTTGGTTTGCTTAAAAATGGAGGGCCCTGGTTTAGATGGGGTTTATGGCATTTACAGGGCCATCTAAAAGGGACGCCTCTTGGGGTTATTCGTAATCTATCTTGCAAAACATCAGATTGGAAGCAGGAAGCCCAGTAACTCAGTACTGTCATTCTACTAGGTAACCAAGGGAACCAACATGAACCACCTTTTCACAAGAATACAGAAATTGGCGAAGGGTTGGAAGAAGGCCACCTGTGGCGCAAAGATGGACTTCTTGGGACACCGTCAGAAGGGCTCCCCCTGCATGGTTCTTGAAAGGGAAGCCGAGAGAGAACCCGCCAAGTCGATTTTGTTTTCTTCAACATGCCCAGATGTGTGAATCCTGACATCCAGGCTGCTGTTGGGGGGTTTCGGTTGGTTTGGCGCTGAGTGTTCGGTGTGCTGCTGGTTTAGCAGCGGTAGGGTTGCTTTGGGTGTGGTTAAGCTAACCAAGACCCACCCTCATGAAGATCTAAGCTAGTCAAAAGCCCCCTAACTTGAACCAGCCCCCAGCAACGCGCCATGAAATCAGAGCCAATAGGCAATAGGTCCAAGTGATGCTGGTGATGCTGGGGATGTTACCAGCCCTGCGGAAAACCCGTTCTAGGAAAAAGCCAGCCCTAGTACAGAAACAACAACAGTCACCCCAGATGTGTTGGGACTGCAGATAGAGAGCCAGTGCTTGCTGTTTGTTGCAGGGCACCTGTTTTTTTTGCGCACGACCACCTCTGCGAGCTGTGTGAAAGGTCTCTCCATGCAAAAGTAACTTTGAGAAACCCTTCAGCTATCAATCATGTCGGGCTAGACAAATCTGGACGCTCACAATTCCTTAAAAAGCTTTTTTGCCTCACAATTATGGGTGAATTCCCTTCTTTATGGGTAGTTTGAGGCTATATAAACCTTCATAACCATGTTAGAACCAAAAGTCAATGCTTTTTCGCTGCTCAGCTAAACACCAGGAACCTTGGGGATTCGTTTCGACTCCCTATAGTCAGTCTGGACGAGACGCTTGCGTCATTTGCCGCCAGACTGTTCCCCACGGCTTTGGGTGAGTCTGATTTCAGCGAAGCTCCAAAATGGTTTCCCTTGGCCTTCAGATAACACCACAAGCCCCAAAGTGATAGGTGTCCAATTTGGAGGGTTTGTTTGAACCATACCAGCCCAAAAAGCCACCTGGACCCAAAATAACCATCCAGAAAAAGTTAGTTTTGAGGGCCCAGGTACCCTCAAGGAAACACGACCCATTGTGTCAGCCACTGGTGTTGCATCAACCCTTCCCCAAGTTCCAAGCTTGGGACTTTCGTGACCAGGGACTTGTGAGTCGAACAGATGTGCAATTGGTCAGTTCCCCCCGGTTTGCTTCCTCCCCTTTGTTCTCAACGACATGGCCCCATCGACTTTCACCCATTTTTTTGAGTGGCGAAAAGCCAAGTGGCTGTGGCTCACAAAACCAGTACCAAAATGGGAACCCTGGTAAGTGGAACCATAACCCACCCAAGTAATCCATTAATCCCCACATCTCCAAGTTGCCGCGCTCTTTTGCTGAGGTTGTATTCGATTTCGTCCCAGCCTCGGCTTCAGGCCGGTCAGCGTGTGGAGGCTTTGATTGATGATTTGTCGCATGAGTCTGTCGCCCCCAATATGGTTTGCTTGCGTTGGGCTTTAGTTGAAAACCAACCGCAAAGAGGACACGCCAAAACCGAATCTTGTGCCAATGGTCTCCAGTGGGCGTAAACGACGAAAGGACCAGCACGTACGAAGGTTTTAGCTTGTGCTTTCCGTCGAACTACCCATCAAAAGGGGAATTCACCTCATCGTTGAGGAGCAATAGCCCATGTTTAGCTTGGAATTTTGAGGGTCTGGGGGGATTTGAACGAGCGCCGCGTGTTCCAACAAGACTGCCGCTGAGGATCAGACCCTAAGCGCGGTGCACGTCTACAATTCCCTTGCTGGAGCGCCCGGAGCGTGCTGGCACCGGGTGCCATCATGACCATCATATCTTGGTGAGTTTGAAGGGTTCTCCACCTTTCGACCATCAGTCTGAAGGGCGAAGATGTAAGCTACTGCTGAGCACCCCTTCAAAACAGCAACTTGGAAACCCATAAAATCGTTTTCACAACAAGATCAGTTTTCTGTCAAAGCCACTTTGGCTCTCAAGGATCAACCTGTCTGGAGATGTGTATTGTCTACAGTTTGCATTGGAAGTCATGCTGCATCTTGCTATTGTCCGAGATCCTGAACCCGATGAACCTCCAATACAAATATTAAGGCTGTGTACCAAGGGACCCCTTCAAAGTGACAAAGTAGTCATAGCAATGGCCCACTTCATAACACGGTATCACAGAAAAGAGTTGTTTCCCACACACACTATTCAGTGGCTCGTCCGAGTATTTTATTTGCCCATAGACCAAGACGAGGGCTTCTTCAATCTCCTTCAAAACAATGTTTGTGGTGTGTACCCCAGATTGGTGGTTTGGATTGGTGGTTTGGCCGTCAGGTGATGTCTGATTTCCCATTCAACCCCAGTTTCTTTTGACAAATGGGGAAGGTACCCCCTCGAACCTCCAAACCACACCCCAAACTGGGATTAAACAGGAGAAAGCTACAGAAATCTCGGCTTGGGTTCCATGTTGGGACATTTTCAGACTATGGAAGCTCCCAGAAATCCTTTCATCCGAATCTCCTCTTGCGGGCCCCCTTTTTCGGGTGCGTGAATTTGCTGTGGAGTAGCTCAGCTCCCTGAGTTCCGGGACACGGACAGAGTCACTTTTTGGGGTTTGGTTGAGCCATTTTGGTGGTCTTCCACCCAAAAAAAAATGGGACGTCAGCAAATGTCGATTCAACTCGCGGCGAGATTCTGGACGTCACTTCTTAAAACAAGACACCACTTTGGGACGTCAGGAAGTGCGGGTTGAACCATTTTGGTGGTCTTTCCCTCCCCAAAAAAAAGAAGCTTTGGCACGTCAGGGGCTCTCAGGTTATCCTGCCAGCTTCTGCCCGCCCGCGCGCGAGCCGAGGCCGGCGGCACGGAGGCGGGGCTCCCGGGCCCCGCCGCGTGCAGCGAGCTAGGGCAGCCTGGGGCGCCCAGAAATGTCCGCAGCGGGGGAGTGGGGTGGGACGGCGTTTGTTTCTTCTTCTTTTCTTGTGGGGGGGGGGGGGAGGTTCTGGGGAGGGTTTTTTTTGTTTTTGTTTGTTTTTTGGTGGGGGGGGGATATGTTTTTTGTTGGGAAGGGGGGCAGGGGGATGATGGGTTTTTACGTGTTGTCGTTTTTTTTTTTTTTGGGGGGGGGGAGTTTGATTTCTTTTTTGGGGGCTGATGTGTCACCAGGTATATCTAGGCGCCGATGCTCAGCCCCTGGTCGGTTTGACAAGGAGAATTCACGAGCCATGGGGGCCCACAAATCATTTGTTTGGCAAGTCCAAATGAGTAGCGTTTTTTTTTCTCCTCCATTACATATGTAAGGGTCGGCGGAAGGTTGAATAATGTCATATGAATTAGAAGGGAATCAACAACACTACTCAACGCTTGGCTTGCACCTGGCAATTGAGTTTGGACTGCTTAAGTTTTCGGGGTACAGCGGCACACCTTTAGGTATCTGAGAGTTCAGGTACATAGTCACCTACGCGATCTTGTTTTCATGCCAACTTGCTTTTCCAGGGCTGTGTCGGTAAGGAGGATTAACATGGCGTTGAGAAGTTCAATCCAGCTCGGAATGCATTGGATGATATGAACTGCGTCCAAACCAATTAAATAGTTACCTAGAGCAACTTCCACTACTGAAGATGGACAAAATCCTGCACCAGTTGGGATGGAGGAAATCGAATGAACGGTGGCATACTCCACCTACCAACTGGTGCAGGAAGTTTCTCTGTCCACAGGATATAGGCATATATTTGCAAGCGACATTGGATGTCCTTTGGAAGGAATGACCAATCACTATGATCCAAGGCTGCTTTGGTCATCTTCGTAGGTGCATCGTGCTAAACAAAAAAATCCATGCGTGCACACACGTCGTGCTATGAGGAGGAGAGTCTTTGAACAGATGTGCACACTGTTTAGAACCCATGCGAGAGTTACAATGCACTGCATTGGTTTCATTCATGCTCCATGAACTAGAACCTTCCACCGGCGTTCCAGGGATTGAAGCCGTCGGAATGAACTCTCGACATTTTGTTTTGGAAAGTTTGGTTTCGACTTTGTATGCCTCGCTTTCAGCCCAATTGTCTGAGTTGATGATGCCTCTGTGTGTTTCCGGAACGTTGAAATTGGGTTATTGCCCCAAACTTATCGGGTGAACTCTCTTTTTTTCATGTTTAGTTTGAGGATTCAGGAAGAATCCTTTAAGTTGTATTTATACCATGCCATGGTGAAAAGACCTTTGTACTTGGGCGTGGCAGGGACGGTCATTGAACCCAGTAGTAGACAACAAATGTAAAGAATCCTGTTAAGGGCTCCATGACCGAGTTTGGACTGATCATGGCACATGTAATTGCCGTGAATGCTTACGGCTACTTTTTGTACGCAACCATATGGGTTATAATATAAACATGTGCTGTCAATTGCATCTTCAAGTGCGGCAAGTCATGCTTCCTTCTGCCAGCCTGCATGGGGTCCGCAGCTGTATTGGCTAAAGCAAGCGCTCGAAACCCACGCTCAATTCCAGCATGTCCGTGCTTGTGCTCTTTGCCACGATCTCCTCGGGGAATGCAGGCCGCAAAGACAAGGTTCCTGAGCAGAACGCAGGTGTTGGGCGACAGGAAGTGATTACTTCCCGAACCGAAATCATCCAAGAGGAGATTCCTCAAGAAATCAAGTTGTTTTCTAGTTCCATGTTGATCTGCAGGGAGTATCGCTTCTGAAATGTGGCTTGGACCCCCCCCCATTCCAACATGTTCCCTTACGCGGATGAGTGCTTGAGGTAAGGCCAATGGAGTTTTGTCCCCGTGTCTGTCAGAAGTCATGAGGGCTTAAACCTTGCCGCATCGGGCTTCAATTGTTTGCATTGGAATGTCGAGAGCACCTGACTGGGACCTTTGCTGCCGCAAATCCCTTTGATAGCTTGGCTCAGAAGCAAGCTTCTTCAAAGAGCGGTTTCTCATCTGGTTTCCTACTTTTGTGTCTGGAAGTACTAGGCTACTGTGGATGGACGAAATCCTGCACCACCTAAGAAACCCTGGAATGGTGATTCCCCCTGCAAATACCAACAAACAATGGTTTCTCATGGTTTCAAAGTGGTGCATTTGTTTGTCCATCCAGAGTATGAAACTTGGTTGTGTTGTACTGCCCATGCGTTTCCCTGCCTAGCCTGCTTCCCTTCAGCTGCCTGAAAGATCCCACTGACATCTTCGGCCAGGCCATGACTTGGACATTTGGACCTTCGCGGCGCACGCGGCGGGCGCAAGCTGCGGGTGAAGTCCTTGGTCCGAGGCGGGGAGAAGGAAATTCAATGGGCTCATGGTTGGAAGGTTTCCAGAATATTGCATCAGTTGGGGTTTTCCTGAAGTTCCCAAAGGTATCCTGCTTGGATGTTCGTTGCCAAGCTAGTAAGCGGTTTGCCCCACGTGAAGTGAGTTTCTAAAGGTGTTGGCGGTCAAACGGTGAAACAGGACACCTGCCTGCATCATGGTCCACTCCTGCAAAGAAGCATGGGAGCCTTAGATCCGTCCTGAACACTCGGTTTTTTGTTGCCTCATATGCTACGAAGGGTGACATGTTGAGAAGGTTTGGACAGATTTTCTACATTTCCAAAGGCTGGGCAGTTACCAGAACCCGGCGCAGTTTGCGGCTCAATTTGATATTCAGCCGACCCCGGTTACAGAGACGATCGCCATGCCAAACGCATCCCTTGCCGCAATACAAGACTCAACGTTAGGAGCCTCCGGCCCGTCCAACTGAGTGTGGATCCGTCCCAGCCGTTCCCAGCGGATGCGTTCGCATGCTGAGGGTCATGAAGCAATTGCTTGAGCGCCGTTTCGGAGTGCCACCAATCAGCCAGTCCGCCAATCAGCCTAGGCCCAGGGCCCCTGGTAACTCAAGTTGCGCATGTTGCGTGCGAGAAGCCGGAAAGCTGGCGGCTATGAGCCTCGCAGATTTCTCGGCAAAACCATGAAGTCTCAGACCACGCTGGCCCCCTTCACTGCTCGCCTTCAAGTCCTTTGCTGGAGCAGCAAGCGTGCCGTCCGGATCGGAGTTTAAAGCTCCGGATCAAGGTCCGCCTGTCCATGAGCTGCCTTTCTCGACCCTATTTTTGAGGCGAGGCCAGAAAAGCCGAGTCCCTCCACCTTAAAATGGAGGGCTCAGAAATCTCGGCCTCTCCTGGCCTTCGGCCATCGGTCGCTCGACCACAAGGAGGCCTCTTCAGAGCGGACGACCTTTCGAGGACCTTTCGAGGTTCAGCTTGGGTCCTTCGTGCGGTTTTAGCAGCTCGCCGATGCGACGTTTTAGCATGGAAAGCCATCACATGTGCTTTCGAAACGACGTGGATAGCCTTTTTGACTACATAAGACCTGTGGTTATGTGACAAGTTAAGTATAGCAGTGCGCATGTTCCTGACCTTGAAGGCCACTGCCAAATGCAGATCTTTCCGCGCTTTTGGCAAACATATCGGAGCACGAATTGTGCGACTGCTCAGCAGTTAGCTCAAGATATCGGCAGTTCGCATGATCATCAACTTGAACACGAAACGCATGCTGCGGAATGAAGCACGACCGTGGACAAACCATGGATCACCAATGGAAAGCCAATAAACACGCGTGAAAAGGCGATTACAAAGGCATAAGAAAGCATGGACCATCTAGAATAATATGCGAGGCAACCTGTCGAAATATGGTGCGTCGTGTGCCAGGCTGGTGGTGAGCTACGCGCGGTCTGTTCTGAGCTCTTTCCATGCGCTTGACACTCCCTTTATTCATTGAGGGCACAAATCACCTCGCTGAGTGCCTCCATGCAACAAAATATTGACAACTCTCACTAAACAAATATATTGCGCTTGTATGCACAGCGACAATGTCTACTTCAGGCCAAATTGCGATTTGGAGCATTGGCGAGTTTTGACCAGGTGGATCAACCACAATGCCGCATATATCCAAATATAGCCTTTGCCCATTGCAAGGTTGGGCTGCGACCACATTGTAGGCTTCCTTTGGCAGACCAGGGAAGACTTAGCATCACTTCACCAGAAGTGTGACTATTGAAGTTTCTAGGACCAAGTTCAAAATTTTGCCTGCAGCAAAAACCCGGTCTAGCTACCTCGACCACTGGTTTTTTAGCGGCTGCGAAAGGACAGGGCCAGAGAAACATGCTTGCGGAAGGCACTGATCGGAAGTTCCGCAGAAGCCCAGAAGTCCCTTCCAAATTGAAGGGGATAAACAACCCCACTCATGTGTGGCTGTGTGTCCAAAGCGGGCCATCAACACCGCAAGCGCTTCGTGGAACGGCGGAAAGACTGTGGTCGGTGGTCAGGTATCTTTTCTTGAATGAGCTGGACGTGTTGTCCTGCACCAGGCATCCCATAACTTAACAGCCCTCACGATTTGAGGGCTGTGCCGTGTCGAAAATCAATTCAATGATGCTGTCGTGGTCTAGCATTTGCTTCAGCGGCGAGCTTCACATTCAGGTGGCTGGCAAGATCTTGCTTGGAATGGGCTATGTTCAGGCTTGCAGGAGTAGTGTATGATGGCATCAAGGGGAGCGTTGTGTTGCCGTGGCTTGAGCAAAGAACACTGTTGGATCCTTGAGACTGCTACGGTTGGCAAACCGTTGAAATTTGATTCAAAAACACCATGGAGTCGGCGCAGATGCCTTTTCTGAGTGGCGCCAAGAAGGCCAAGCCCCTTTGCAGAAGCTCGCCCCCACCCAGAAGATGTGGGCCCTTCTTAGAAGCAGTTTTTGCCTTCGCAGAAGCATTTCCAAGGGCTTCTCAAGGGGAGTCTTGCCACTAAGAACCCTCTAAGGAGGAACGCCTTCTTAGATGCGACGACTTTCGTTATTCTGCCCTACTGTCCTGGTCTAGTACTTGCTTCAGTGTGGCTCGGAACAAGTTGCTTGGCGTGCGTGGGGCTCGGAGTGTTGTCATGAGCATCACGTTGCCTTGACCTGGAGCAAGGGGGGCTACGGTTGGACCCTGCCAGCTGCAAAGTTGCAGCTTGGCACTGCTGCTGCAGCTGGCATGCGGATGTGCTTACACCTTTCGAGTTGGATGCCTTGTCCTGCAACATCCCACCCCCATCATTTTTGGCAGGCTGTTAGCGTTTGTGGTGTTGCCGTTCGAGATTGCTGTTCGAACTTACAATCAATCAACACACGAGGCCCCTGAGACTTCAGTGCTCCTCATGCCTGATGTCTCCATCCGCTTTGAGGCCACGTGTGACAGCTCCTTTGCCTGTTTTGCAAGTTTGCCGTTTTCTCAGCCACATGCACGAAACAAGGTGGCGCATGTACGGAAATGCGCAGGAAAAGCGCGGACATTTGCGCGAAAAGTACGGAAGTTTGGGGAACGGTTGCCAGAAGAAATGCGCCTCTTTCTTGTCCAGCCCTCAGGCTTGCAGGGTTTGCGCCCATTGAACGGTTCAATGATGCAGCCACGGTCCAGCATTTGCAGTGGCTAGCTTCACATCAAGGCTGGCCAGGGGATTTGAATGGGCCAGGCGTGCAAGCGGAGTGTGCGTTGTGTCGGGACTTGCGCCACGCCGGTTGGACCCCGCCAGCTCGGCCCTGCCCAGAACTTTGTGGCCAGTTGCAGCTTGAGACTGCTGCGGTCGGCAGACCTTTCTTGCAGCGGCGGAGTTGAAATTCGCTTCAGAAAAACAGTGGAGTCAGCACATTGGTGGAGTCCGCAGATGCCATTTCTAAGTGGCTCCAAGAGGGCCAAGCCCCTTTGCAGAAGCTCACCCCCACCCAGAAGATGTGGGCCCTTCTTAGAAGCAGTTTTTGCCTTGGCAGAAGCATTTCCAGGCTTCTCAAGGGGAGTTTCGCCAGCAAGAACCATCTAAGAAGCAACAGCTTCTTAGACGCAAGGACTTTCTTTGTTCTGCCCTACTGTCCTAGTCAATCGCTTGCTTCAGTGGTGAGCTTTACATCAAGATGGCTCGGAACAAGTTGCTTGGCGTGCGTGGTGTCATGAGCAGCACGTTGCCTTGACTTGGAGCGTGGCTGCCGTTGGACCCTGCCAGCCTGGCGAGAACTTTGTGGCAATTTGCGGCTTGACACTGCTGCTGCAGAATCTTGCCCCCACAGAAAAGATTTCGCAGCGCCGTCTCAGATAGAAGCGATTTTGCCCTCGCAAGGGCTTCGGGCTCTTCAGAGAAGAGGTTTTGCCAGCAAGACCCCTCCAGTGGCAACGCCTCTTCCAAGAAGGCGCCGTAGCGATGCCGCCGTGCGACTCGCTGTCCTCTAGCATTCGCTGCAACGCAATTGGCGCTGAATTTTTTGCCCTGAGGCCCAGCAACTGATGTTGGCTCAGAACCCCGTGCCAAAGTCAGGGGCTTTGTGCTGCTTTGCGCCGAAAGAGTTGCAGGGGCCGTGGGCCCTGCAATGAATCTGCTTGTAATCTGAGCAGGCAAAAAGGCTCAGAACAACAACATGCAGGTTTTTGAGTAGCAACATGAAGGCATCAAGGACAGCCGTATATCTCTCTCCACTTTGCTTTGAGGCATAGGTATCACAAAGCCACACTTTGCAGACTGCTCTCCCCGTGGCCGCGCTCACGTTGTGCAAAGCTTTACTCGCGCCAGCCTTTCTGCTCTTGTTCCTTAGGGCAAGTGCGTTGCCAGCTGCAGTGCATAGGAAAAAGGTGCTTGGTCTTGTGCCTGAATCGCCGAAAGTTAGAAGCTGGTGATTTGTGTAGAATACCTAGACCCTCAGAATTTCCCTGAATTAAAAATGGGTGATTGCCCTTAAATAAAGGATTAATTCCCTTTGCCACAGCATGGGGCGAATTCCATCCTTTTTTTTTTAAGGGGGGGGGGTAGTTTGAGGGTTCAGGTGGTCGCAAGTACCTCCCTTCCACGTGCAAAATCCAATTTCCAGAGGGGAGAAGATGGGTGTGGATGGGGGGGGGTCCAAAATGTAAATAGAAAGGTAGACTAGAACCTGCAGTCTGCCCCAGCTGCGTTTTTTTTGAGCCACATGCGTTGCTCCTTATTTCTTTGATCCCTTCCGGAAATCTTTGTGCCCCGCGCCCGAGGGGTTCACCATGGACAGCATCGACGAATGCCACACCATTCTGCGCCTCAGGGCCAGCTATCCTAGACCAACTACGAGCACCACTACGACCACCACTACGACCACCACTGCTGGTGTTTGGGTCAATGTTAGTGTGTCGCTTTTGGGGTCGAGTGAAAAGGAAACCGAAGACACCACGACTCGGAGTTGGAGGTTCCTCATTAGAGAATCTGTCATTACTGGACATACTTGTATTTTTTCCAGGGGGCGAAAACGCACTTTTTGAGCAATGTTCATACCCGGACCCTTGAACTACCCATAAAGCAGGGAACTCCCCATAAACCATTTTCCAGGGAGTTTCGAGGGTCCAGGTAGGTTTTGATTGTTGACCACCTGGCGGGGGCCTGCTCAAGCGCCGTGGCTCGACTGGCTCGATGTGTAGAGTTTTATCCCAGACAATCCAGGAAGCTAATGTAGACCAACAGTTGACCCTTCTTTTTCGGGTAAATGTGGGGATTATGACCTACATGGATTGTCTGCATACCATGTTTATACCAGTTGGGCTTGATCGACTTTTATTTGGGTGTGTCTCCCACCCCCCGAATCATGGGTTTCCTTTGGTTCCCCCTTAAAGCCAAAAGGGTTCCCCAAAAAATCACCAAGGATCGACAAAGTTTTCGGGGGTGGTGTTAAAGGGAAGCTCACTCCCGAGTTCCTGCTGGGCTTTAGACTTTTTTTGGGAAGGCAAGTTTAGTGGTAAACAGCAACTTCGGGCTCGTTTCGGAAATGAGTTTTGGTGATTGAAGGGAAGCCAACAGCACAACCATTTTGGCGCAGACCCAAATGCCCTGGTTTTTAGGGTGCCCCAAAGCCTGCTGGGATATCAGCCCACAAAATGGGGGTCCCTTTGTGGCACGAAATAGGGAATGCAATCATCTAACGCCCACCACCTTTAAGGGGGGTTGTGTTTGTTTTTAATTGTTGTTTAGGTTGGAGTTGGTTTGAAGGGAAACCAGCCCATCAGTGCCCATCTTGGGGCTATCCTTCGGCAAAACTTTTTGTGGGCAGACTCGGCATGACGCAGAATTATAACATATTTGTGTTGGACCACATTTTGCGTTTTCAAGGGAAGGCAAAAAGGCAAGCACTCATTTCAAGGCCTTTGACACAAGCCCAATCTTTCAATTTACTTCACTTGTGGACCAGAATCAAGAATCCGTTGTTGGTCGGGGGGCAAAAGCTGAGGTAGAAATCTGTGATAAAACCGATGGTAATTTCCCTTGTGCACTGCGGGTTGCCGTCTTTCCAGGATTTTGGAGTTTATTGGTTCTCTTATTTTTCAGCAAGGGGGCTGCAAAAAAAACAGTTTTTTTTGTCCGCTGCCATACCAAGGGTTGCAAAGAACATGCCTTGAAAACTACTATCCTCTTGGTCATGAAGACATCGGGATCCGGGTGTCCCATCTCGTCCCACCCCAGCTTAGGGCCAGCTGCAGCAGCGCCTTCGCTTGCACGGCAGCCTTGCACGAGACCCACGGCGTGGTGGCGCTCCGAGTTTGGAATCCGCCACGCGAAGCATTGAGCGTGGACGAATTTGCCATGCAGCCATGGTTGTTGTTGGGAAGCATTTTACATTTTTGCTTATTGTGGTTTAGTGGGAAATCCCTACTGAACCGGTAAAAAACATGTTGCTCCCCTCCCAACGTCAACCAAGCAGCGTTTGCGCTCAGACTTTTGTGAATTCATGCGGGGATTCGGGGGCTCGCCCAAGCCCGCCACTGTGCTATAGATGGAAGTTTCGCGCGCGAATCTTCTGTTTTGTGTGGACTGAGCCGGAAGCATCACAGTGGTGCCTGGAAAAGCCACCTCGACCCGAAGAAAACTCTGCGCTCTCGGCATGCTGCCTCCAGATGTGCGGAGTGCGGTGAATTCGGGCGAGGCTTGGTGTGAGGCTTGGTGTTTTCAGAATGTTCCTACTGTGGATGGTTGCAAAAACCATTTCGCTCGAGTTGTTGGACATTGGGGTGGCTCGTCTCTTTTTGAGTTTGGTTCCCTTCTCGGGCGGGTCTAAAGGGAACCACAAGGGGACAAGTGGATTGTCGGGGTCTCTGTTGAAGGCACATGCTTCTTCGGGAAGACCATCTTAGTGGTAGACAAAAAGTGTTAACGAGTTGGGTATCTTTTGTTTCGTGGCCAGCTGGTTTAAATTGGAGCAACCAGGGTCTCCCATACCATCTCAGAAGGGTCTTTCTAGCAACCAAAATGCATCTATCGGTTCCAAATTGTGAGTCATATCCGCCAACATTTGACCCACGAGTGGCCTCCAAACGTGGAGTGTTTGGACCTTTTCTTCCCAAAGGCTTTCACACACAGGCCACATTTCTGCGGGTCACGGGTCGCGCCAGCTCCCGTAACATTTCAGACGGTGTCCAAAATCCCTTCCTTTCAAGCATCAGTTCTCAGGGTTTCGTGAGAGTTCTCCCCCAAGTATCTTGAGGATGGCGAGGATGGCTAACGGCAGGTGTCTATAGCGCACCTCGTGAGGCTGTCGCGGGTCCTGGAGCTAAGTCACCACCCGCAGCTGCAGCAGCAAGGTGGAAGCCGCTTGCGGGCTCGGGCTTCCGGGGTATCCACCTAACCCTGAGGTTCAAGCCACCAAGGCAGTAGTTGATACCCACCTTCATTTGCTTACATCCAAATTGGCTGCACCCTGATTTAAGTTGGGGTTGAACCCCGGGGTTAAGTGATGGAAGTGGGTTATATGTACCACTGGATTGGGAGTGAGGGGATATGCACTGAGCCCGATTGGGGGTCATCCAAGCGGAGGCCCGTGAGGTTCAGTCAAAGTCTGCGTGGAGTTATCCTTGCAGGGGCAATGATCCATAGGACAAAGCGTATGTGTATGACATACATATATATATATATAATGCATAGAACACACTATTTTACAGTGTTTTCTTGCCTCCACACTCTGGGCGCGGATCATGGGGGGGTGACCGCGTTCATATATGTTGGTGCCATGTTCAGCTTGTTTAAACAGAAAGCAGAAGGCAAAGCGTAATTTCATGTCTCGGGCCCCTAGTTTGATGCATGCCCGGGTGTTTGGGGAAATCAGGGACTACTAGAATTTTTGACCTCACTATGTCGGTGAATATTTCAGCAGCTTGAATTGGAAACGATGGGTTCAGCCGGGTTAACCATGCTTAGTCTTTATGGCGAGCCAATGTGTTGTAGGGTTGGCAACAAGAAGTGGTTCACTGCGTTGACCCGTTTGGCAGGCCGGTCACGGCTGCGGCGCAAGTTAAGACTTGAACCCGTGGTTCGTGTAGAGGCTAGATGAGTTTGTCTTTTTGGGTGAGCAATCATTTCGGCTTTGAAGGGAAACCAAAGGAACCACCCAAATGGGAAACCACCCTCTAACCTCCATCAAGCCAAACCACCAATACGAGGGAAGCAGATAGTCGTAGTGAATCGACATTTGGCTCGGAGTTGTGAAGGGAGTAGCATCATGCAATACCGTGTTGGTGTTCCTACCCACATAAGGGAGTTCGCCCCATAATTTTGGGCAAAGACATATTTCAAGGGACTTTTGAGGGTCAGGTTATGTCAGGTTGATTTGTTCGAAATTCAAGGGCCGAGACAATCAATAGTTTACTCCTACCAAAAGCACCTTCAAACCCTATTCTAGTTGCCTTCCTGTCCATGAACATGGAACCTACGGAACCTCTTTCCAGGACCCCCAGTCAGATTTCATGTTCGTCGATGGGTTTTTGTATTTGGCCGCCAAAGTTTTAAGAGCCCAAAGCCCAGATGTGAGATTTGGATTGAGGTATTGAATGGGTGGCTTCAACCCATTTACCCACCACGGGGCTCAAACATCAGGAACCTTCGTGCGCTACCCTAGCAAACTGTTGGGAAACCCGAAGGAACCCTCGAAAACCGGAAGAAAAGTAACCAGCCTGGAAGCCTTCCAGGAACCCAAGGCACCCCTGGAAACTTTGCGATTTATTTGCTGATAAAAGGAAAACCACCAGGAAACCTTCCGATTTGTTTTCTGGCAAAAGGAAAACCACCAGGAACTCAAACAATTCCTGCAAACCTTCCGATTTGTTTTCTGGCAAAGGGAAAACCAGGAGCCTAGGGAAACCCTGCAAACCTTCCGATTTATTTTCTAATCAAAGGAAAACCACAAGGAATTCAAACAATTCCTGGAAACCTTCCGATTTGTTTTCTTTCAAAGGGAAAACCACCAGGAACCCGAGGAAACCCTGCAAACCTTCCGATATTTGATTTTTCTGGCACAAAACAAAAACCACCCGGAAAGCCAACTTCTTATCGCCATTGGGTCCCCAAACATTTCCGCTGTCCGCGGGGTTCGCTCCCGCGCTTCGCCTTCGCCGCCTCGGCTTCGCCGAAGAAAGAGGCGGCTTCGCGGCGGCCTGCTTTGGCGGCCTGGCGCGGGTGGGGCGCCTCGCGGCGATGCTGGAGAGCCTCTCGGGGGCCGCGGAGCCCGGAGCTCGTCGGTTTTCTTTTTTTCGGAGACCAAGACGCCTTTCAAGGCGAAGGGAAACGAAGCCCGGTTGTCTTCGTATTTCTGTCGCCGGGTGTTTTTTCTTCTTTTGTTTTTTGTTGTTCCTTTTTTTTTTTCGGGAGTTCAACTCCGTGTGGCTAAGGGAAACCAAAAGGAGAACTTGGTTGGAGAAGGGCGTTAAGCTCCCTCAAGTGTGTCCCATGCATTTCATAGCCCCAGGGGAATTCGTTTTCGAAGAGCATGTGGTGCGGATTGATCCCCTTGGCCGTGTGGAAGAAGATGAAGTGTCCCATGGGTTTTGAAAGTTCTGTGGACAGTTGCGAAATCCAGAAATCGCCCCACGTAAGAAACTATGGGAAGGAAACCATGAGGTTTGTGGGTACTTGCAGAGGAATCGAATCATTTCAAAGTTTCTTAGGTGGTGCAGGATTTGGTCCATTCACAGTGGCTTCCATTTCTTCCAGTTGCTGAAACACATATTTGTTTGTTTCCCTTTGTTGGTTTTCAAGGGAATCTGTCACTAGCTCAAATGACATGCCCGGGCTTTGGCAATGAACCTGGGGATTTCACAAAAGGAAACCACAGGGGACATAGGAAACCATTGGACCATACGGGATTGATTTGTCATTCCTTTTTTGGCCGAGAACCAGCAGGAGAAAATCGAGCTGCGTTGATAGCTTCTATTTCTAGGGCGACCCATTTTGAGAGATGTCCTGCCCAGAATACACCGGATGCTTTAAAGCAAGCCTCAGATGGCTCCCAAACCATGCTCCCCTCCCCGTGGTGATAGCTGCTAAGCTGAGCTCCAGTCAAGGCGCCGTGTGTTGCACACGGATCCTGTTGATGCGGACAATGATCCAGGTGCCAACCTGTGAAGCACTTCTATGCAGTGATGTATGTTTTGATTTTTTGTTGGCTGTCAGACTTGACTTCTTGTAAGACGGTTGCCCAAACTTAGGCTTCCCGCAAAGGAGTCCACCATTTTGAGAAACCTCCCAAAGGGGTGTGTCCTTTTTCTCAGAAATACCTCCAAAATGACTGTTTTCCTGGTGGTTTCTAAAATCACAGAGCAACCAACTTACCCTTAAACAAACGTCCGTTGCCAACACTTTGGACCTAAGGCCACGTTTCTGCTGTTGGGCTGTTCACCGTCATTGCAAAACCACGTGATAGCCGGTTTAGCTTTTTTGGTTTTAGCATTGCACACATGCCTGCCAAATGGTAAGCACACACGCTCACGGGCACCCGCTCAGCACTGAATCCATGCCAGCCAAATGGTAAGCACACCCGCTCACGCACACCCGTTCAGCACTGAATCCATGCCAGCCAAATCGAAAGAACACCAGCTCACGCGCGCCCGCTCAGCACTGTCTCCATCGCTCACGCGCACCCGCTCAGCACTGAATCCATGCCAGCCAAATGTATAAGCACACCCGCTCACGCACACCCGTTCAGCAGTGAATCCATGCCCGCTCAGCACTGTCTCCCGCTCAGCACTGAATCCATGCCAGCCAAATGTATAAGCACACCCGCTCACGCACACCCGTTCAGCAGTGAATCCATGCCCGCTCAGCACTGTCTCCCGCTCAGCACTGAATCCATGCCAGCCAAATGTATAAGCACACCCGCTCACGCACACCCGTTCAGCAGTGAATCCATGCCCGCTCAGCACTGTCTCCCGCTCAGCACTGAATCCATGCCAGCCAAATGGTAGGCACACCCGCTCACGCACACCGGTTCAGCATTGAATCCATGCCAGCCAAATGGTAAGAGCACCAGCTCACCAGCACTGTCTCCATCGCTCACGCGCACCCGCTCAGCACTGAATCCATGCCAGCCAAATGGTAAGCACACCCGCTCACGCACACCCGTTCAGCACTGAATCCATGCCAGCCAAATGGTAAGAACACCAGCTCACGCGCGCCCGCTCAGCACTGTCTCCATCGCTCGCGCGCACCCGCTCAGCACTGAATCCATGCCAGGCAAATGGTAATTAAGCATACCCTTTTCAGCTGCTGGCGCATACCCTTGTCCAGATCTCATTGTGACGTGCTCAAAACATTGTTGCGAGCTATGCGCCCGTGGGTCCATTGAAGCAACACATATGCCTGATTGAAGTGACACCTTTGCCAGGCTCTAGCAAAAAAAGTGCTCTTTTCGCAGCTTAAGTGCCGCGCCTGCCAGCGCAGTAAGAACACGGGGCCCCCAAAACACATGTTTTTTTTTCAAGTGTGTGTTGGGGATGAAAACGAGAGGACGCACTGAGCGAAACACAGATTCGGTCCAAAAAACCCGACGGTTTCCAGCCCGGCGGGTTTTACCATGGTCTCTCCAATTGAAGGAATTCTTTTCTTGGGGGTCCAAGTCTTATTTCCTTCCGCTTGGTGATTTGCCCGGATGTCTGCCCCTTGTGCGTTTCCTGCATTTGGGTGTCTCCCTTTGATTCCCTTTGAACACCAACTAAGAAAGGGTGGGTATTTGGCGCAGGGGGCACCCAAACATTAAACCAATTGAAGCGCACTGGGTTTTGGAGTTTTTGAAAGGCCACCCGTTTCGCGGTCTTGGATTTTTGGAGCCAGGAGCAGCTGCGCGACGCCGGGGTGGAGTGCATGATCTGCTCTCGAGGCGATGCTTTGAGTCCAGTGGAGCACCAGACCCCAGGACTTTGTTAGGGCTAACTTTTTGCCAAATGGGTTTTCCATTGGACCACTAAAAGTTAGTCACTTTTAGCACCAGGGTTTTCCATTGGAGCAGATTTCGCCACCGAGAGGAGTCATGATTTAAACGGGGAAGGCGCATTTTTCCGGGAAACGCTCATGTTGAAAAAAGGTATTAACCGGTGATCATTGATTGTGGTAGTCTGGTTTTTGATTCCGGTAGTCTATTTTGGGGCACTAATATCATGTAAACCTCAGGAATGGGCCCTTATTATCTTCATATTTGGGGTCATGCAAGTTCATGTTAGACCTGTGTGAGGCTCTGTGAGAAGGTCCCTCGCATCATGTACTACTGTTTGTCAGAGCCTTGCAGCGTGTCTGGCATTGAAACTGCATGGCCCCTTTCAAGGAAGTACTGACCAAAATACTGGCAATAAAAGCCCACTCCCAGGCTTATGTGAGAAAACCCAGCAAATAATTGCTTCCTTGGGGGTTACTGGGGGTTACTGGGGGTTACTGGGGGTTTTAGAAAAGGTGTCGGTTTTGGATGCGCCATGCTGGGTCTAGCATAGTAGACAAAGTGAAAAACATGTTCTGTGCTTCCCAGTGTTTGTAAGAAGTTGTGATTTGCCACTTGTGCTAGGCCCAGACTGGCCCATCCAAAGCCGACACCTTTCTAAAACCCCTGTTTGAACACTGTAGTCAATGGAGGTAACGGGCGGCTAGCCTTTGGAATGGGAAGAAGCTGGTTTAAAACAAGCACGCGAATATAGCTGTTCAAGAATTGCCCTTCAAATTCTCAGTCCAAAGGCAGCAAGCCCGTCAGTAGGCTTTATGTTTGACAACGCCCCTGCTATCCCCTATTCTTAAGCTTGGGGCAGTTTACCTGGGCTGGGCGGGGGGGGGGGGGGCAGCGGCTGTCGCTGGCGGCTGCCGCCATAAGCAGCTTCGCCAAGCCAGGGCCTCGGCTCATTGGTTTTTCAAGTTTCCGTGGGCATGGCTGAACCATTCATTCCCTGACAGCCGAGACGCGGTTTTACCCAAGCCCCCAAGCGCCTTCTCGCCCTCGCGCATCCCTGAACCAGTGAACATGTATTCTGGCTGCAAGCGCAGCCGCCGTTAAAAACTCAAATTAAGAACAGAGCTAACGCGCGGCGCACGCAGCAGTACAGCGCAGCCCCAACGCTGGCACTAAACTACACAGCCCTACTACGCGTTGCGCCCTCAAGCTCTGCGCTCTACAAGGCCACGCCAAACGCTACCGCCTGCGCGCTAGTTCCCGTCTACTGGTCAGGGCATACTTTGCCAAAAATAGCCTACAGAAAAAACTCGGCGCAACTAAATGAGCCGCCGGCTGCGGCGTCCACGGCTTGCCGCCTCAAGTCTTTCACTTCTCAAGCAGATTGCGGTGGCCGCTTGCATGGCATATGGAGTAGTACCCACCGTTCTTGCAAACGCACTGCCCGTCCTTCCACACGCAGCCCCGATAACCCCAGCATTGCCGACTTCAGCGTAATAAGCCTTCCCTCAAAACCCAACCAGTTTGATGAAACTGGTAAATTAGCTTGACAAAACAACCAAGACGCAAACTAAAAACAGACACGTTCAGGCCAGCGTGCCCACTACATTGACCTTGATCCAAATAACCTTCAGGTTTGCGAGTCTCAACCAATTTAACAACGCGCTGTGCTCAGCAAGCTTCAGCCCATCGATTCGCTTAAGGTTATGATTTTTTTAGCCAGCCAGAGACTGGAAATCTTGAAATATTTACTTTTTCAAAAAATCATCGATTTGGTTATCCTCAAACCTATCCAAAAATCATCCTACAATCATCCTCTGCAAAAAACATCATTGAAAAATCATCCTCTCCCTCCTCCTTCATCCCTCCTCCACATCGCTTCTATTCTCTGCGTTTCCATTTTCCTTTCCTTCCCGTTCCTTCCCGTTCCTTCCCGTTCCTTACCCTTTTCCATTTCCCTCTTCTTGTTTCCATGTTCCATCTCCTTTCTTTTTTTTTCTTCCTTGTCCTCTCCAATTCTCTTTGCCCTGCCCTGTTCCTTCTTTCCCTTTTCACTCTTCCTCTTCCTGAGACTGACAGGAAAAGCAAAAAGTTGCAAAACCCTCCTGTTTTTTTCAAAAAATCATCGAACAATCATCGAAAAATCATCGAAAAATCATCCCCAACCCACATTTTCTGGACCAACCCCCCTTCACAGTGGTCAGGAAAGCAAAAAGTTGCAAAACCCTCCTGTTTTTTTCAAAAAATCATCGAAAAATCATCGAACTATCTTCGAAAAATCATCGAAAAATCTTTGAAAAATCTTCGAAACATCATCCTGACCGGAATCCATCTTCAAAAAATCATCCAACAAATTACCCTGCCTGACATCAACCTTCCAAAAATCATCCTCCCTATTTTCCCCCCCTGTTCTCCAGTCTGGAACACGATTTGAAACGAGCTTCAACACAGCCACCGTCAGACATTTCTTGCGCAAAATGGCTCCAACTAAATTGTTTCATGGCTGAAGCTGAAGGAAACCCACCAAAGCAAGCCAAGCAAAGCCAAGCCCAGCAAATCAAAGCAGAGCAAAGCAAGCGAGCGAAGCAAAGCAAAGCAAAGCAAAGCAAAACAAAACAAGTGAGCGAGCGAGCAGGCAGGCAGGCAGGCTTGAGGATAATGAAAAACGATGAGGATAAAAAAATGATAATCTGGAGGATAATGACAAACGATGAGGATAAAAAAAAGGATAGTGTTGAGGATCATGAAATTGATGATTTTTTGAAAAAATAAATATTTCAAGACACCTCAGTGTGTGGCTGCAAAAATGTCATAAGCTTAAGGCCCTGATGTTCTGGTTGTTTGTGTGGCCTGGTCTAAGGCCACGCTTGAAAGCAATAGTCGCTGCAGGTGGCTCCTGTTTGGTCGAGAGATGCGATACTTATTCGCTACCTTTGCCCAGCTTCAAAACGGTGGGTTGGCCTTGATGTGCCCTGACTGAAACGCCTGTGCAGGTTTGCCTTTGCTGCAAACACTCTTCAAGGATTGCAGCTTTTGGTACCTCTAAAACAAAATTTCTTTCTGGACGAGAGGCCACACAGTGTGGCTCCAGGGCTAGGCGCTTTCCTCCAAAGGGGTGTTAATGCTGGTGTTGCTGGGCACATTCTGAAACCCCAGGGGCCAACTCCCAATGAGAGCAAATATCTGGGTTGACCTCGCTGCTCCTTTGCGACGACGACCTCATTGGAAAAGTGTTCGGTTTTGGATGGGTGTGTTCCTCAAGTTCTTTAGCACCGTGGGCATGCTCGAGGTTCAGTCATAGCCAAGATCAAACAATCGTTGCCAGCTGCTTGTCCATCCAAAACCGAACAACTTTCCAGAATGCTGAAACAAGGGAGGGAGCCAAACATTTCTTTCCAGCACACAACCTCGTACGGTTCCTGATGCTGAGGCCAAAGCCCTGCCAACGCGGAGTCCCTGATGTCAGAGGACACAGCCGGGGCACCTGGCAGGCGAGGCAGTTGCAGGTGTCTGGAAACCGCTGCCCGTGTCTGGGAAACAACTGGTGCGTCTGGAAATCTTAAGTTTGCCAGACAGCATCGCAGCTAGCTTTTTCCACCTCATCTCAGCTCACTGCCCGGGCAGCAGGCTTTTACCTGTCCAAAGCTGGTTGGCACCAGCTCGTGTTTGCACTTGGCCGGCTGGCTTTTGCAGGGGCTCGGATACTCAGAGCTCTGGTACTCTGAGGCTCAAGGGCAGGCTCAGTCCAGGCGAGCTTTCTTTTTTGCCGTGAAGGTTTTCTTGAAGCGCTTGATGGCGTTGATGGCGGTGTGCTTTCTGGCTGGCTCTGCCACTTTGCCACAACCTGAGTTCCAAATGCAGGCGGATATTCAGCTGACTTCTGAAGCAAGTTCTTCACGCCCTTGAAGCACCTCTTTCCTGCAGAGTTTGTCCATGTCACAGTCAAAGCCTGGTGCTTCTGGCTCTTGCATGGGCATTGCCTTGCCAATTGTCTGATCCAGCCAGCTGATGCCACAAGCTTGTACTGCTTCCAGAGCCTGGTGCCGTCTTTGGACTTGTCGAAGGCACAGCGGCAGGTGGTGCACACAAAGGCCGTTAGCCGGCCCAAGGCCTGCTCCAAAGCCGGAAATCTGAACAAGGTGCTTGATGGAGGGTTTTCAATCACAACTTGCACGCCTCTTCGGTGAGCCACTTCCATGAGGATGGCACAGGCCAGCGCCATGATGTTGCCAAGTGCGACTGGAGCATAGATTGGGTTGCCCCTGAACTGGTTTGCAGAGCTGCGCTTGGTCCGTGAAATGTTCAGTCCAACCCATGAAGAGCAAACAGGAGCCAGCCAAAGAAGCCCCCCTTCACGCAGGCGCATGACCAGGCGCACTGCCCGGAAGAAGCCGTCTTTGGTTGTCATGTCTTCAGACATCCCTAGGTCCTGATCTGTGCAACCGCCAACGCGATGCTTGTCAAACCTTCCAGCAGCGAAGCCGGCGCGTTCGGCAGCAAGTGCAATGCTGCCCACTCCGCAAAACACTTCTGCCACATCTAGGTTGCGTGGAATCCCGGCAAAGTCCGTGCTCTGCAGGATGCAAAGGGCAGTCAAGCCAAACAAGGCGGCCATGGCGTCACGGGACCTGGGCCTCAGAGCCTCTGGGACTCTGAAACTATTTCCTAACGCTCAGCCTGAAGTGCACAAGAAACGGTGGCTCAAACCAATGCCCTGCAAAGCCTTCCCGCAAAATGCACCAATTACCGTTTTCACTCCTGGGCGTGTCAGCACTCTGGCAGTCAGCTCTCAGTTGAACTTGACAAGCATTTGCCACGACACCCCCGGCAGATTTCGAAAGTAGGGGTTGTCCTTGGCAAAGTGCCATGCAATCACAACATGTAAATTTGTCAAAGCACGCTACTGAGGCTGCGGCAGAAGGCTCCAGCGCCGCACGCCTGTCAGCAGA